CATGGTCTAGTTTCACTCACCTTCAGATCAGCCATGACTATGGTCTAGTTTCACTCACCTTCAGATCGGCCATGACCATGGTCTAGTTTCACTCACCTTAGATCAGCAATGACCATGGTCTAGCTTCATTCACCTTCAGATCAGCTATGAACATTGTGTAGTTTCACTCACCTTCAGATCAGCAGTGACCATGGTCTAGCTTCATTCACCTTCAGATCAGCTATGAACATTGTGTAGTTTCACTCACCTTCAGATCAGCCATGACCATGGTCTAGCTTCACTCACCTTCAGATCAGCCATGACCATGGTCTAGCTTCACTCACCTTCAGATCAGCCATGACCATGGTCTAGTTTCACTCACCTTCAGATCTGCTATGACCATTGTCTAGTTTCACTCACCTTCAGGTCTGCCGTGACCATGGTCTAGTTTCACTCACCTTCAGATCTGCCATAACTATGGTCTAGTTTCACTCACCTTCAGATCTGCCATGACCATGGTCTAGCTTCACTCACCTTCAGATCAGCCATGACCATGGTCTAGTTTAACTCACCTTCAGATCAGCCATGACCATGGTCTAGTTTACTCACCTTTAGATCGGCTATGACTATGGTCTAGTTTCACTCACCTTCAGATAAGCTATGACCATGGTCTAGTTTCACTCACCTTCAGATCTGCTATGACCATTGTCTAGTTTCACTCACTTCAGGTCTGCCATGACCATGGTCTAGTTTCACTCACCTTCAGATCTGCCATGACTATGGTCTAGTTTCACTCACCTTCAGATGCCATGACCATGGTCTAGCTTCACTCACCTTCAGATCAGCCATGACCATGGTCTAGTTTCACTCACCTTCAGATCAGCCATGACCATTGTCTAGTTTCACTCACCTTCAGATCGGCCATGACATGGTCATTTCACTCACCTTCAGATCGGCCATGACTATGGTCATTTCACTCACCTTCAGATCAGCCATGACTATGGTCTAGTTTCACTCACCTTCAGATCAGCCATGACCATGGTCTAGTTTCACTCACCTTCAGATCGGCCAGGACCATGGTCTAGTTTCACTCACCTTCAGATCAGCCATGACCATTGTCTAGTTTCACTCACCTTCAGATCAGCCATGACCATGGTCTAGTTTCACTCCCCTTCAGATCAGCCATGACCATGGTCTAGTTTCACTCACCTTCAGCCATGACTATTCTAGTTTCACTCACCTTCAGATCGGCCATGACCATGGTCTAGTTTCACTCACCTCAGATCAGCCATGACCATGGTCTAGCTTCACTCACCTTCAGATCAGCTATGACCATTGTCTAGTTTCACTCACCTTCAGATCAGCCATGACCATGGTCTAGCTTCATTCACCTTCAGATCAGCTATGAACATTGTGTAGTTTCACTCACCTTCAGATCGGCCATGACCATGGTCTAGTTTCACTCACCTTCAGATAAGCTATGAACATTGTCTAGTTTCACTCACTTTCAGATCAGCCATGACCATGGTCTAGTTGCACTCACCTTTAGATCAGCCATGGCCATGGTCAGTTTCACTCACCCTCAGATCAGCCATGACCATGGTCTAGCTTCACTCACCTTCAGATCAGGTATGACCATGGTCTAGTTTCACTCACCTTCAGATCAGCCATGACCATGGTCTAGCTTCACTCACCTTCAGATCAGCCATGACCATGGTCTAGCTATCACTCACCTTCAGATCAGCCATGACCATGGTCTAGCTTCACTCACCTTCAGAGCTATGACTATGGTCTAGTTTCACTCACCTTCAGATCGGCCATGACCATGGTCTAGTTTCACTCACCTTCAGATCAGCTATGACCATGGTCTAGTTTCACTCACCTTCAGATCAGCTATGACCATTGTCTAGTTTCACTCACCTTCAGATCAGCCATGACCATGGTCTAGCTTCACTCACCTTCAGATCAGCCATGACCATGGTCTAGTTTCACTCACCTTCAGATCAGCCATGACCATGGTCTAGCTTCACTCACCTTCAGATCAGCCATGACCATGTTCCATGGTCTAGCTTCACTCACCTTCAGATAAGCTTTGACTATTGTCTAGTTTCCCTCACCTTCAGATCGGCCATGACCATGGTCTAGTTTCACTCACCTTCAGATAAGCTATGACCATGGTCTAGTTTCACTCACCTTCATATAAGCTATGACCATTGTCTAGTTTCACTCACCTTCAGATCAGCCATGACCATGGTCTAGCTTCACTCACCTTCAGATCAGCCATGACTATGGTCTAGTTTCACTCACCTTCAGATCTGCCATGACCATGGTCTAGTTTCACTCACCTACAAATCGGCCATGACTATGGTCTTCACAACCACAGTTCACTCACCTTCAGATCGGCCATGACCATGGTGTAGTTTCACTCACCTTCAGATCAGGACTGACCATGGTCTAGCTTCACTCACCTTCAGATCGGCTATGACCATGGTCTAGTTTCACTCACCTTCAGATCAGCCATGACCATGGTCTAGTTTCACTCACCTTCAGATCAGCCATGACCATGGTCTAGTTTCACTCACCTTCAGATCAGCCATGACCATGGTCTAGTTTCACTCACCTTCAGATCAGCCATGATGTTCCATGGTCTAGCTTCACTCACCTTCAGATAAGCCTTGACCTAGTTTCCCTCTTCAGATCGGCCATGACCATGGTCTAGTTTCACTCACCTTCAGATAAGCCATGACCATGGTCTGTTTCACATCACCATGACCATTGTCTAGTTTCACTCACCTTCAGATCAGCCATGACCATGGTCTAGTTTCACTCACCTTCAGATCAGCCATGACCATGGTCTAGTTTCACTCACCTTCAGATCAGCCATGACCATGGTCTAGTTTCACTCACCTTCAGATCAGCCATGACCATGGTCTAGTTTCACTCACCTTCAGATCGGCCATGACCATTGGTCTAGTTTCACTCACCTTCAGATCGGCCATGACCTATGGTCTAGGTCTTTCACTCACCTTCAGATCGGCCATGACCATGGTCTAGCTTCACTCACCTTCAGATCAGCCATGACCATGGTCTAGTTTTCACTCACCTTCAGATCAGGCCATGACCATGGTCTAGTTTCACTCACCTTCAGATCGCCATGCCATGACTCATGGTCTATGGTTTCACTCACCTTCAGATCAGCCATGACCATGGTCTAGTTTCACTCACCTTCAGATCAGCCATGACCATGGTCTAGTTTCACTCACCTTCAGATCGGCCATGACCATGGTCTAGTTTCACTCACCTTCAGATCTGCCATGACCATGGTCTAGTTTCACTCACCTTCAGATCGGCCATGACCATGGTCTAGTTTCACTCACCTTCAGATCAGCCATGACCATGGTCTAGTTTCACTCACCTTCAGATCGGCCATGACCATGGTCTAGTTTCACTCACCTTCAGATCGGCCATGACCATGGTCTAGTTTCACTCACCTTCAGATCGGCCATGACCATGGTCTAGTTTCACTCACCTTCAGATCGGCCATGACCATGGTCTAGTTTCACTCACCTTCAGATCGGCCATGACCATGGTCTAGTTTCACTCACCTTCAGATCGGCCATGACCATGGTCTAGTTTCACTCACCTTCAGATCGGCCATGACCATGGTCTAGCTTCACTCACCTTCAGATCGGCCATGACCATGGTCTAGCTTCACTCACCTTCAGATCGGCCATGACCATGGTCTAGCTTCACTCACCTTCAGATCGGCCATGACCATGGTCTAGCTTCACTCACCTTCAGATCAGCCATGACCATGGTCTAGCTTCACTCACCTTCAGATCAGCCATGACCATGGTCTAGCTTCACTCACCTTCAGATCAGCCATGGTCTAGCTTTCACTCACCTTCTAGCTTCACTCACCTTCAGATCTGCATGACCATGGTCTAGCTTCACTCACCTTCAGATCATGCCATGACCATACCATGTCTATGACTCACCTTGTCTAGTTTCACTCACCTTCAGGTCTTCCATGACTATGGTCTAGCTTCACTCACCTTCAGATAAGCTATGACCATTGTCTAGTTTCACTCACCTTCAGATCAGCCATGACCATGGTCTAGCTTCACTCACCTTCAGATCAGCCATGACCATGGTCTAGTTTCACTCACCTTCAGATCTTCCATGACCATTGTCTAGTTTCACTCACCTACAAATCAGCCATGACTATGGTCTAGTTTCACTCACCTTCAGATCAGCCATGACCATGGTCTAGTTTCACTCACCTTCAGATCAGCCATGACCATGGTCTAGTTTCACTCACCCTCAGATCAGCCATGACCATGGTCTAGTTTCACTCACCTTCAGATCGGCCATGACTGTGGTCTAGCTTCACTCACCTTCAGATCAGCCATGACCATTGTCTAGTTTCACTCAGCTTCAGGTCTTCCATGACAATGGTCTAGCTTCACTCACCTTTAGATCTGCTATGACCATTGTCTAGTTTCACTCACCTTCAGATCTGCTATGACGTGCCATGACTACGACCCTGCTTCACTCACCTTCAGATCGGCCATGACCACGTTCTAGTTTCACTCACCTTTAATCGGCCATGACCTGCCATGACCACAGTTCAGCTGTGAGAGTCCTAAATAAACTGGAGTCTGTAAGAATCCTTTATAATCTGGAGTTTGGCTTTTAGAGTCCCCTATAATCTGGAGTCTAGCTGTGTTCCCCTATAATCTGGAGTCTGGCTGTATGCATCCTATAATCAAGAGTTTAGCTATGAGAGTCTTACTGTCTGAAGTCTGGCTTTGAGAGTCTCCTATAATCTGGAGTCTGGCTATGAGAGTTCCCTATAATCTGGAGTTTGGCTGTGAGAGTCCCCTATAATCTGGAGTCTGGCTGTGAGAGTCCCCTATAGTCTGGAGTCTGGCTGTGAGAGTCCCCTATAAACTAAAGTCTGGCTTTGAAAGTCCCCTATAAACTAAAGTCTGGCTGTGTGAGTCTCCTATAAACTAAAGTCTGTCTGTGAGAGTCCTACAATCTGGAGTCTGGCTGTGAAAGTGCCCTATAAACTAAAGTCTGGCTGTGAGAGTCCCCTATAATCTGGAGTCTGGCTGTGAGAGTCCCCTATAAACTAAAGTATGGCTGTGAGAGTCCTACAATCTGGAGTCTGGCTGTGAGAGTTCCCTATAAATTAAAGTCTGGTTGTGAGAGTCCCCTATAAACTAAATTCTGTGAGAGTCCTACAATCTGGAGTCTAGCTGTGAGAGTCCCCTATAAACTAAAGTCTGTCTGTGAGAGTCCCCTATAATCTGGAGTCTGGCTGTGAGAGTCCCCTATAAACTAAAGTATGGCTGTGAGAGTCCTACAATCTGGAGTCTGGCTGTGAGAGTTCCCTATAAATTAAAGTCTGGTTGTGAGAGTCCCCTATAAACTAAATTCTGGCTGTGAGAGTCCTCTATAAACTAGTTTGGCTGTGAGAGTCCCGTACTATCTGGAGTCTGGCTGTGAGAGTCCCCTAAAAACTAAAGTTTGGCTGTGAGAGTCCCCTAAAAACTAAAGTCTGGCTGTGAGAGTCCCCTATTAACTAAAGGCTGGCTGTGAGAGTCTCCTATAAACTAAATTCTGGCTGTGAGAGTCCCCTATAAAGTCTGGCTGTGAGAGTCCCCTATAAACTAAAGTCTGGCTGTGAGAGTCCCCTACAATCTGGAATCTGGCTGTGAGGGTCCCCTATAAACTAAAGTCTGGCTGTGAGAGTCCTCTATAAACTCAATTCTGGCTGTGAAAATAATTTGGATCGTATTGACAGTCAGTGTTGGACTAGAATTCCGAATCTACTTCTTAACAATTTATTTTGTATGAATTAATGATATATGCACTTTTTTTTTCACACAGCTAATATAAGGTCACTAGTATCACAACATGTAGCAAAATCACAACAAAAACACCTGTGAGAGATGTGTTTTGATCTAAAGATAACGCTACTCAATGAACGATAATGAACTGTTGAGCTAACAGTTATTTACAAGATAGAACACACATAAATTTTCAAAACAAATCACTAACAAGACGCAACTAGCATGTAATTTGACGATCGACCCGAAATCATAACAATTGAAATCGCACTAAGAATCTTGCTACCACTTAACGTGAAAGTACGTTATCCTAGCAGTTAAATGACCTACGGACAACTAACATCTAGCCCAGGCAATCTCCCAGGAAAATACTATCAATGATGAAAGAGGATAGACTAGAATGGTAGACAGTGTACGGCACCGCTGTTCCCAAAATGACTTTTTAGAACACCACGGGCAAGAGAACAAGCCACAGCACATCAGAACAATCAAGACACAACTGTACTCCAGCCTGGAATCCATGGTGCCCCTTGATACAGTATGATGAACTGAGTTGATGATACTTCTGAGGATAAAGGGCTTCACTGAGGACGTCTAGGACTCTCAAACAGGCACACAACTCCACATCATATTGCTCACACGTTGTCGCAGCCACAAACAATACTTGTTCACAAGTTCACTGTCGATCTATCGTCGCTCACCCGTAAAGATGCAACACAATCCTAACACACTAGGTTATAATCACTAAGTACATACCAACATAAGACATTATTAACGAAACAGTTACAGTCTGTTGCTAACAATGAATCTCGGTAAGTCTCAATATTGTTATCAACTTTTTAAGAGTTGATTTCGTGGATGATGCCACTGATTATGGGAACTATCCCAGCTACACAACGAAATCACCGCTATAGCCATATCTGAAATTACGAAACTCTCCGAACCATGTAGCACTATAATTATGAACACACTCACTGGAAAAAAACTAAATAATTATCTATCTGTCAGTCCTAACCCTAGTCAAACAGCACAGTTATTATTGAAACAATCTGCTCATTCTGAATGGTACATTATTATTCAAAAATCACAACTGGGTTCAAATCCCAAAGAACGTAGCCAACCATTTTCTGTGAAACTTTCATTCAAATACATTGGATTTAACAACAACAACATCAAAAGTTCCCAGAAAGAGCCTCCATTATCTGTCACAGACATTCTTTGTTATTTATCTTCTCTGGCTCGTCGTGTAGGCCAGCTAACAGACTCAACTACCCTAGAACACACTTAAGACACACACCTATGGAGTACATGCATATTCTTTAATGAACTAAGAGCAGTTCAACATAAAGCAAGCCTCAGCAGCTATGGATGGTCCCTTATCTTAAATGCCGGCTGTGGTAGCTTTTACATTCACTAACACACCCCATTCCGTTCCCATGGATGTACAAAAGGACTAAATTCCACCTCACTGTCGTACAGAACTAACTAGGCTGCTGTCCTCGCTATGCGAGACTCAGTGGCACACAAAGGGGGAGTAACCTAAGAATGAGTAGGCAGTCTTAACGCCACAAACAATGCATGTCAACACTAACTATTTGCTTAACAAATTCTGCATGAAAGCTTCTACTCACAAGAAACATCACACTTAAACAATCTTGTCAAAACACCATATGGAAACACATCGCATCTAAAGCGTATCCGCAATCACTATCCTTGCTAATCGTCACTAATATAAGATCTGTTATCCGTCGTTGTCTGACAAATGTTCCATCCAAGCGTCCTACACAAGTCTTCTCCAACCACCTCTGCCCGAGACTTTTGTTCCTCTCCAGGGTCTTATCTGACGTGTGTACCCCGTCATACTTTTCTGGTGCAGGGCTAGGTCCAACTCAGCCGACACAGTTCACTCCATGGTCAAACTGCCTGATCTTGCTCTGAGTCTGTCCACGGGTCATCCCTTGTACCTGTGATGATTCAGTGTCATCACACCTTCTCATCCCATAACCAAACTGGCCTCTGATACTCAAGTGCAGCATGTGACAAACTTTGGGTCTTGATATACTTGCTTTAGTACAGCCAGTGATAAACTTGTGTGTCTGGATGTGCTTGCTCAAGTACAGCCAATGATAAACTTTGTGTCTGGATGTGCTTGCTCTAGTACAGTCAATGATAAACTTTGTGTCTGGATGTGCTTGCTCAAGTACAGCCAATGATAAACTTTGTGTCTGGATGTACTTGCTCAAGTACAGCCAGTGATAAACTTTTGTGTCTGGATGTGCTTGCTCAAGTACAGCCAATGATAAACTATTGCGTCTGGATGTGCTTGCTCAAGTACAGCCAATGATAAACTATTGCGTCTGGATGTGCTTGCTCAAGTACAGCCAGTGATAAACTTGTGTGTCTGGATGTGTTTGTTCAAGTACAGCCAGTGATAAATTGTTGTGTCTGGATGTACTTGCTCAAGTACAGCCAATGATAAATTGTTGTGTCTGGATGTACTTGCTCAAGTACAGCCAGTGATAAATTGTTGTGTCTGGATGTGCTTGCTCAAGTACAGCCAGTGATAAATTGTTGTGTCTGGATGTACTTGCTCAAGTACAGCCAATGATAAATTGTTGTGTCTGGATGTGCTTGCTCAAGTACAGTACTAATGTGTGGTCATGTGTGGTCAGCTGTCTGTGTGGTCAGCTGTGTGTGTGGTCACTTGTCTGGTCAGTTGTTATTTCCTGCCTGTTTGGTCACCTGTCAATGTGCTCACCTGGTTATGTGGTCACTTGTCTGTTTGGTGACCTCTGGTCTCCATTCCGTGTGTTCATCTATCTATGTGGTAACTTGTGATCTTCTGTCTGTCATATGTCTTTGTGATCAACTGTCTGTGTTCACTTGTCTGTGTGGTCACTTGTTATCTCGAGTCTGTTTGGTGACCTATCTGTGTGATCATCTATGTTTTTACCTGTCTGTGTGGTCACCTGTCTGTGGTCAGCTCATTGTGTTGTTGCCTGGTTTTATGTGGTCACCAGCCTGTGGAGTCACTTGTATGAATAGTTGTCTGTCTGTGCATTCACTTGTCTATGTGGTCACCTGTTATCTCCAGTCTGTTTGGTCACCTATTAGTTCACACTACACGGTTTCAAGGATTCTTGATTAAAAAAATTAAAAATCTGTCTGGTCACCTTTCATCACCTCTCTATGTGGTCAGCTGTTTGTGTGGTTGCCTGGTTATATGGTCACCTGTCTGTGTGGTCACCTGTGGTCTTCTGTCTGTGTGGTCACCGATTGTCTCCTGTCTGTGTGGTCACCTGTCTGTGTGGTCACCTGTGTATGTGGTCATCTATCTGGGTGGTGGTCACCTGTCTGTGTGGTCATTTGTCTGTGTGGTCACCTGTCTGTGTGGTCATTTGTCTGTGTGGTCACCTGTCTGTGTGGTCACCTGTCTGTGTGGTCACCTGTCTGTGTGGTCATTTGTCTGTGTGGTCACCTGTCTGTGTGATCACCTGTCTGTGTGGTCATTTGTCTGTGTGGTCACCTGTCTGTATGGTCACCTGTCTGTGTGGTCACCTGTGAATGTGGTCATCTATCTGGGTGTTGGTCACCTGTCTGTGTGGTCATTTGTCTGTGTGGTCACCTGTCTATGTGGTCACCTGTCTGTGTGGTCACCTGTCTTTGTGGTCACCTGTGGTCTTCTGTCTGTTTGATTACCTATTTTCTCCTGTCTGTGGTCACCTGTCTGTGTGGTCATTTGTCTGTGTGGTCACCTGTCTGTGTTGTTGCCTATCTGTGTGGTCACCTATCTGTGTTGTCACCTGTTTATGTGGTCATCTATCTGTGTAGTCACCTGTCTTGTGTTGTCATCTATCTTTGTGGTCATCTTTTTATATGATCATCTGTCTGTGTAGTCGCCTGTTAGTTTTGACAGCTGTATGTGTGATAATCTCTCTGTGTGTTTTCTGCTGTCTGTGTGGTCTCCTGTCTGTGTGGTCATGTGGTTGTGTGTGTCACCTGTCCAAGCCACATATTGTGTTCACCTGTCTCTGGCCACATATTGTGTTCACCTGTCTCTGGTCACATAATGTGTTCACCTGTCTCTGGCCACATATTGTGTTCACCTGTCTCTGGCCACATATTGTGTTCACCTGTCTCCGGCCACATATTGTGTTCACCTGTCTCCGGCCACATATTGTGTTCACCAGTCTCCGGCCACAAATTGTGTTCACCTGTCTCCCGCCACATATTGTGTTCACCTGTCTCCAGCCACATATTGTGTTCACCTGTCTCCAGCCACATACTGTGTTTACCTGTCTCCGACCACATATTGTGTTCACCTGTCTCCGGCCACATATTGTGTTCACCTGTCTCCGGCCACATATTGTGTTCACCTGTCTCCGACCACATATTGTGTTCAACTGTCTCCAGCCACATACTGTGTTCACCTGTCTCCAGCCACATATTGTATTCACCTGTCTCCAGCCACATACTGTGTTCACCTGTCTCCGGCCACATATTGTGTTCACCTGTCTCCAGCCACATACTGTGTTCACCTGTCTCCGGCCACATATTGTATTCACCTGTCTCCAGCCACATACTGTGTTCACCTGTCTCCGGCCACATATTGTGTTCACCTGTCGCCAGCCACATACTGTGTTTACCTGTCTCCAACCACATATTGTGTTCACCTGTCTCCGACCACATATTGTGTTCAACTGTCTCCAGCCACATACTGTGTTCACCTGTCTCCAGCCACATATTGTATTCACCTGTCTCCAGCCACATACTGTGTTCACCTGTCTCCGGCCACATATTGTGTTCACCTGTCTCCGGCCACATATTGTGTTCACCTGTCTCCAGCCACATATTGTGTTCACCTGTCTCCGGCCACATATTGTGTTCACCTGTCTCCAGCCACATATTGTGTTTACCTGTGTCCGGCCACATACTGTGTTTACCTGTCTCTGGCCACATATTGTGTTCACCTGTCTCCAGCCACATACTGTGTTCACCTGTCTCCGGCCACATATTGTGTTCACCTGTCAGGTACATATTATGTTCACCTGTCTCCAGCCACATATTGTGTTCACCTGTATCCGGCCACATATTGTGTTCACCTGTCTCCAGCCACATACTGCGTTTACCTGTCTCCGGCCACATACTGTGTTTACCTGTCTACGGCCACATATTTTGTTCACCTGTCTCCGGCCACATACTGTGTTCACTTGTCTCCAAGGTACATATTGTGTTCACCTGTCCCAAGGTCAAATTGTGTTCACCTGTCAGGTACATATTATGTTCACCTGTCTCCGGCCAGATATTGCGTTCACCTGTCTCTGGCCACATATTGTGTTCATCTGTCTCCGGCCACATATTGTGTTTACCTGTCACCAGGTACATGTTGTGTTCACCTGTCTTCAGCCACATATTGTGTTCACCTGTCTCCGGCTACATATTGTGTTCACCTGTTTCCAGCCACATATTGTGTTCACCTGTCTCTGGCCACATATTGTGTTCACCTGTCTCTGACAATATATTGTGTTCACCTCTCAACAGGTACACATTGTGTTCACCTCTCCCTAAACATATATTGTGTTCACCCGTCCCTAAACATATATTGTGTTCACCTGTCCCCAGATGCATATTGTGTTTACCTGTCCCCCAAATACATATCATGTTTACCTGTCCCAAAATACATATTGTGTTTACCTGTCCCCAAATACATATTGTGTTTACCTGTCCCCAAATAAATATTGTGTTTACCTTTCCCCAAATACATATTGTGTTTACCTGTCCCCAAATACATATTGTGTTTACCTGTCCCCCAAATACATATTGTTTTTACCTGTCCCCAAATACATATTGTGTTTATCTGTCCCCAAATACATATTGCGTTTATCTGTCCCCAAATACATATTGTGTTTATCTGTCCCCAATTACATATTGTGTTTATCTGTCCCCAAAAACATATTGTGTTTACCCGTCCCCAAATACATATTGTGTTTACCTGTCCCCCAAATGCATATTGTGTTTATCTGTCCCCAAATACATATTGTGTTTACCTGTCCCCCAAATACATATTGTGTTTACCTGTCCCCTAAATACATATTGTGTTTACCTGTCCCCCAAATACATATTGTGTTTACCTGTCCCCCAGATACATAGTGTGTTTACCTGTCCCCCTAATACATATTGTATTTACCTGTCTCCCAAATACATATTGTGTTTACCTGTCCCCCAAATACATATTGTGTTTACCTGTCCCCCAAATACATATTGTGTTTACCTGTCCCCCAAATACATATTGTGTTTACCTGTCCCCCAAATACATATTGTGTTTACCTGTCCCCCAAATACATATTATGTTTACCTGTCCCCCAAATACATATTGTGTTTACCTGTCCCCCAAATAAATATTGTGTTTACCTGTCCCCAAATATACTTGGTGTTTACCTGTCCCCCAAATACATATTGTGTTTACCTGTCCCCCAAATACATATTGTGTTTACCTGTCTCCCAAATACATATTGTGTTTACCTGTCACCCAAATACATATTTTGTTTACCTGTCCCCCAAATACATATTGTTTTTACCTGTCCAAAGGTACATTACATCCTGTCTGAACTAGTCATGGGAGGCATGGTGCTGGAGACTAACATGACGGAGATCATCACCCGAATCGAGGAACAGAATCAACTGGAGAAACAAGAGGTCAGTCAACTTGCTGTCACAGATGACTGCCCTCACCCTCTGTTGACTGTTTTATATATTATTATTTATATATGTGTCTTTTTTTTTTACATACAGATAGGAGACAGAGTAGATAGGAACAAACTATGGGGAATCTTAAAAGGTTACTATGTGAACATACGTTTCATAAGCAACACTGTGTCCCTCCTCCAGGCCTTGTAGTGTCCACTTTGTCCCTAATCCAGGCCTTGTAGTGTCCACTTTGTCCCTCCTCCAGGCCTTGTAGTGTCCACTTTGTCCCTCCTCCAGGCCTTGTAGTGTCCACTTTGTCCCTCCTCCAGGCCTTGTAGTGTCCACTTTGTCCCTCCTCCAGGCCTTGTAGTGTCCACTTTGTCCCTCCTCCAGACCTTGTAGTGTCCACTTTGTCCCTCCTCCAGACCTTGTAGTGTCCACTTTGTCCCTCCCCCAGGCCTTGTAGTGTCCACTTTGTCCCTCCTCCAGACCTTGTAGTGTCCACTTTGTCCCTCCCCCAGGCCTTGTAGTGTCCACTGTGTCCCTGCTCCAGGCCTTGTAGTGTCCACTTTGTCCCTCCTCCAGGCCTTGTAGTGTCCACTGTGTCCCTGCTCCAGGCCTTGTAGTGTCCACTTTGTCCCTCCTCCAGGCCTTGTAGTGTCCACTTTGTCCCTCCTCCAGACCTTGTAGTGTCCACTTTGTCCCTCCCCCAGGCCTTGTAGTGTCCACTGTGTCCCTCCACCAGGCATTGTAGTGTCCACTTTGTCCCTCCTCCAGACCTTGTAGTGTCCACTTTGTCCCTCCTCCAGGCCTTGTAGTGTCCACTTTGTCCCTCCTCCAGACCTTGTAGTGTCCACTTTGTCCCTCCTCCAGGCCTTGTAATGTCCACTTTGTCCTTCCTCCAGACCTTGTAGTGTGCACTTTGTCCCTCCTCCAGGCCTTGTAGTGTCCACTTTGTCCCTCCTCCAGGCCTTGTAAATTGAACTTGTGGAATGGAAGAGGTTGTGCAGTATGGATGCTTGGTACAAGTCATACAGTGGCTGGGTACTGTGTGAAGTCATACAATAGCTAAGTACATGTGGAGTCATACAGTGACTGGGTACTGTGTGAAGTCATACAATAGCTAAGTACATGTGTGGAGTCATACAGTGGCTGGGTACTGTGTGAAGTCATACAATAGCTAAGTACACGTGTGGAGTCATACAGTGACTGGGTACTGTGTGAAGTCATACAATAGCTGAGTACATGTGGAGTCATACAGTGGCTGGGTACTGGGTGAAGTCATACAATAGCTAAGTACATGTGGAGTCATACAGTGGCTGGGTACTGTGTGAAGTCATACAATAGCTGAGTACACGTGTGGAGTCATACAGTGCCTGGGTACTGTGTGAAGTCATACAATAGCTGAGTACATGTGGAGTCATACAGTGGCTGGGTACTGTGTGAAGTCATACAATAGCTAAGTACATGTGGAGTCATACAGTGGCTGGGTACTGTGTGAAGTCATACAATAGCTAAGTACACGTGTGGAGTCATACAGTGACTGGGTACTGTGTGAAGTCATACAATAGCTGAGTACATGTGGAGTCATACAGTGGCTGGGTACTGTGTGAAGTCATACAATAGCTAAGTACATGTGGAGTCATACAGTGGCTGGGTACTGTGTGAAGTCATACAATAGCTAAGTACATGTGGAGTCATACAGTGGCTAGGTACTGTGTAAAGTCATACAATAGCTAAGTACATGTGTGGAGTCATACAGTGACTGGTTACTGTGTGAAGTCATACAATAGCTGAGTACACCTGTGGAGTCATACAGTGACTGGGTACTGTGTGAAGTCATACAATAGCTGAGTACACGTGTGGAGTCATACAGTGACTGGGTACTGTGTGAAGTAATACAGTGACTGGGTACTAGTATGCAGTCATACAGTGACTGGGTACTGTGTGAAGTCATACAATAGCTGAGTACAAGTGTGGAGTCATACAGTGACTGGGTACAAGTATGCAGTCATACAGTGACTGGGTACAAGTATGCAGTCATACAGTGACTGGGTACAAGTATGCAGTCATACAGTGACTGGGTACAAGTATGCAGTCATACAGTGACTGGGTACAATGTGAAGTCATACAGTAGCTGGCTACAAGTGTGAAGTCTTACAATAGCTGAGTACAAATATGGAGTCATACAGTGAAAAGATAGAAGTATGAAGTCATACAATGACTGGGTAGAAGTATGAAGTCATACAATAGCTGGGTACAAGTGTGAAGTCATACAGTGACTGGGTACAAGTGTGAAGTCATACAATAGCTGGGTACAAGTGTGAAGTCATACAATAGCTGAGTACAAGTGTGAAGTTCTACAATAGCTGAGTACACGTGTGGAGTCATACAAGACTGGTTAGTAGTATGAAGTCATCCAGTGACTGGGTAGAAGTATGGAGTCATACAGTGGCTGGGTACTGTGTGTAGTCATACAGTGATTGGGTACTGTGTGAAGTCATACAATAGCTGAGTACAAGTATGAAGTCATACAGTGACTGGGTATCAGTGTGAATCATACAATAGCTGAGTACAAGTATGAAGTCGTACAGTGAGTGGGTACAAGTATGAAGTCATACAGTGACTGGGTATCAGTGTGGAGTCATACAGTGACTGGGTACTGTGTGAAGTCATACAATAGCTGACTACAAGTGTGAAGTTAGTACAGTGACTGAGTACAAGTATGAAGTCATACAGTGACTGGGTTTCAGTGTGAATCATACAATAGCTGAGTACAAGTGTGAAGTCGTACAGTGACTGGGTACAAGTATGAAGTCATACAGTGACTGGGTATCTGTGTGGAGTCATACAGTGACTGGATATCAGTGTGAATCATACAATAGCTGAGTACAAGTGTGAAGTCGTACAGTGACTGGGTACAAGTATGTATGAAGTCATACAGTGACTGGGTATCATTGTGAAGAAGTCATACAATAGCTGGGTACAAGTGTGAAGTCATACAATAGCTGGGTACAAGTGTAAAGTCATATAATTGCTAGGTACAAATTTCTCTGTCCAGTTTTCCGTCGGATGTGAAAATTTCTCCCAAATACCTCAATTCCTTTGTTTGTCTTAAAGTGTTGTTTTTCAGTTTTATTTCTAAAATGCAAGTATGTCAAATATTGGTGTTCCTTGTGCTTGTATATCAGATATTCATACAATATTGGTTAAATACAAGTGTGAAGTCATGTCAATATTCTGTCAAATAGTACAAGTGTTGTATGTCAGATATTTCATGTATACCAATGCTATGTCCTGTTATTGTGTTATTTCTGGGCTTTCTGTTTGTGCTTGTATATCAGATATTCATATTATCTTTATGTTGTTCTATCTCATTAACTATGTCCTGTTGCATCTCATTATCTATGTCCTGTTGTATCTTATTGTCTATGTCCACTTGTGTCTCATTATCTGTGTGCTGTTGCATCGCATTATCTCTGTGCTGTTGTGTCTCATTATTTCTGTGATGTTGTGTCTCATTATCTCTTTTGCTATCCATTCCTGTACTGTTGTGTCTCATTATCTATGCCCTGTTGTATCTCATTATCTCTGCCCTGTTGTAGCTCATTATCTCTGTGTTGGTGTGTCTCATTACCTCTATGCTGCTGTGTCTCATTATCTCTTTTGCTATCCATTCCTGTGCTGTTGAGTCTCATTATCTCTGTCCTGTTGTGTCTCATTATCTTTGTGCTGTTGTGTCTCATTATCTCTGTGCTATATCTTATTATCTCTGTGTTGTTGTATCTCATTTTCTCTGTGCTGTTGTGTCTTATAATCTTTGTGTTGTTGTGTTTTATTATCTGTTTGCTGTTGTGTCCCATTTTCTCCATCCTATTGTGTCTTATTATCTGTGTGCTATTGTGTCTCATCCTCTCTGTGCTGTTTTATTTCATTATCTCAGTGCCATTGAGTCTCATTATCTCTGTCCTGTTGTGTCTCATTCTGTCGGTGCTGTTGTGTCTCATTATCTCTATGCTGTTGTGTCTCATTATTTTTATGTCGTTGTGTCTCATTATCTCTGTGTTGTTGTGTCTCATTATATGTATGCTGTTGTATCTCATTATCTCAGTGCCGTTGGGTCTCATTATCTCTGTCCTATTGTATCTTATCCTCTCTATGCTGTTGTGTCTCATTATCTTTGTGCTGTTGAGACTCATTATCTATGTCCTGTTGTGTCTCATTATCTCTGTGCTGTTGTGTCTCATTATCCATGTGCTTTTGTGTCACATTATCCATGTGCTTTTGAGTCTCGTTATCTATGTGCTGTTGTGCCACATTATCCATATGCTTTTGAGTCTTGTTATCTCTTTGCTGTTGTGTCTCATTATCTCTGTGCTGTTGTGTCTCATTATCTCTGTGCTTTTGAGTCTCATTATCTTTGTGGTTGTGTCTCATTATCTATGTCTTGTTGTGTGACCAGCAAGCTTTGCTTCAGTCTGTTTATGTTTTCCACTTGACATGTGAATGATTTCATCTTATTTTTTCCATCCTGACACCCCTTGAATACACCAAATGTGAGCTAGGCCAGAGATAGGGTGCTTGGAGCAATCCACAAAATTGGGGGGAATGCAGGTGTGTATGGCAAGACAGATACACCAGAAATGGAAGGCATTCAGACGCAAGAGATCCGTCAGTCTCGCTTCCTCCCTCAGGGAGTCCGGCTGTAGACTTGCTCTCTGAGATTTCAAGTAATTTATTCATGCTTTTTTCTTCTCTTCTGTTTATCTCAAACCATCTCATTCATGGCTGTTACAACGGCTGCCATTCTTTCATTGCTTTTTTCTTCTCTTCTGTTTATCTCAAACCATCTCATTCATGGCTGTAACAGCGGCTTCCATTCTTTCATTGCTTTTTTCTTCTCTTCTGTTTATCTCAAACCATCTCATTCATGGCTGTTACAGCGGCTTCCATTCTTTCATTGCTTTTTTCTTCTCTTCTGTTTATCTCAAACCATCTCATTCATGGCT